GGGGGGGGAAAGGTTTTTCCCCTAATTTTTCCGGTTTTTTTCCGGGCCTTCACATCACAAAGTAGAATGTTTGCTCACAAGACTCCACAGCTTAGAGGGAGCATTGCCCATCAGGGAAAGTGGTTTCCACCTTTGTCCACGTGGGGAGAGGGTGGCCCCCGGACGGCAGCTGTCGTGGGCCTAACCTCCTCCGCGATGTTGTCTTTTCAGGACGAGTTGTCCCACATCAACGCCCGGCTGAACATGGGGATCTTGGGCTGTGAGTATCCCGCTGCGTCTCTCTCCCGTCCTGAACCAGCTGGCTGAACAGGACCGTGGTCGTCTTAAGTTGCTAAATCACGGGCAGTTATCTGTGCTTTTTATTTTAACTTGCTGAGTTCTGGCCCACCTGCTCGGAAGACGTTATTGTCCGGAGAGCTGGGCAGGCTCTGCACCGTCTAGTAAGGGCAAGGTCTGATGCTGAAGAAGAGACCAAAGAGGTAAAACGAGGTGGTTTCATTGGAGAGCCAGAAATTACTGAATGCACACTGGGCGGTTTCACACGGTTCTTTTATCACTTGCACCCGAAAGAGCAGCGCCTCGGGTTGAGAACAGGTTTGCTCCTCTGCTGTGCTGTGCTGTAGTGCAAACGCAAATGATGGAACTCTCTTCGTAATCCTATGCAAGAGCATCTACTTACTGGGGGCGTAGCTGCCGTCCCATCAAAATGTGTGTGCTGTTAGAGCCGCAGACATTGCTGCCTGAAAAGCAGATCGGTGTAGAGGCCAATCTGACTGCGCTGATCCATGGTTTTGTGATCTCGCAGATAGATTGCTCTCATGCGTTCTACAGTGGGCTCTCCTGGAGGACAACCTGAAAACCACAGGTGGCCCAGAATTTTGGCATCCTGTTCCTTTCAGAGCCCAACCTCAGGCCTTGGCTTTTAAAAGGATATAAATTGCAGGCTTCTTTTGGGGGGCAGGGTGCATGTGGCGGTTCAGTCTGTCGATTTTGACTTGTGCTGGCTTAATTGTGGATTGTGGCATCTTCAGGTGTGAAGAAGGGCAAAAACACAGGCATTTTAAATAAATGTTTTAAATAAATACTTTAAATAAGTGCTACCCAGTGGTGACTTTGAATAGAAGTGTTCTGCTGTGAAGGATACTGGTTCAGTGGACGTCTTTTCATTTGTTCCTGGTTTGGCTTTCATTTTGGCTTTCTTCCTGGTGAGCGAGCATTGTGAAACGCCAAAGACTGCATGCGGTTGCAATCCCACCCCAGTTGGTCCCTTGAAAGGGTTTGGTGCACTTGGTGGCTCAGTGGTTAAGATGCTGAACTGCAGACCAGAAGGCCGGTAGTTCGGCAGTTCGAGACCTGAGTGCCGCGTGACGGAGTGAGCTCCCGTCTCTGGCCCCAGCTCCTGTCAACTGTTGTTTGAAAGCAAGGAATTGCAAGTAGATAAACAGGTACCACTTCAGTGGGAAGGTAACGGCGTTCCGTGCGCCTCGGCGTTTAGTCATGCCGGCCACATGACCACGGAAACGTCTTCGGACAGCGCTGGCTCTTCAGCTTGGAAATGGAGATGAGCACTGCCCCCTAGAGTCGGATTCAACTGGCTTTCGAGCAAGGGAAACCTTTACCTTACTTTGCATATCCCCTTGAACTCACATAGAGTTGTTAATTTATCCCATCCGGGGATGCGAGGGGTACAAGACGCGTTCTGGACAGCCAGGCTGGTAGCCCAGGGGAGAAGCCGTGGTGCATGTTAGGAAATGTAGTCCTGGGGTCCCAGAGGCCAGATTTAAGTTGCAAGCAGGACCTCTGAGGTTGGCTCTCTGGGAAGTGTTGCCTCTGATTTGTAGGGCCTGGAAAACACATGGAGCCACGTGGTGTTGGGAAGGGAGGGTTTCGACCATAGCTAGAGCAGCTTGGAACAAGCTCAGTCTCTGCCAAGGACTGCCGGTGCTTATTGTCAAAGGCCACAGCACAGCTGGTAACCCCTACTCTGTGCAAAGGCTGATGGGAGCTGGGGGGGGGGCAGTGTGGAGCATCCGTTCTCTAGGAATAGCAGCGTCAGGTGCTTCCAGCGGGAACAGGATTGCCTTTAACAGCAAGGGAGCTGAACAGAAGGCAGCTGTTGAACAGAGACTGAGCAACCATGGACGGGCTGAACAGAAGGCAGCTGTTGAACAGAGCAACAACGGACAGTCATGGCGTCTGTAGGAAGAAGGACACGCGACAGAGAAAGTGTGTTTGGAAAGAGGTGCATCGTCAAGGGGTTTCCGTGCAGAGGCCTGCAGCCTCTGAGCCGCTGTGGGGGGGCTGTGGGGGACAACCCTGGAGGTCCCAGAGCAGCCTCTTGCTTGCAGCTGCGGGGGGTGGTGTCTTGGCAGTAAAAGAGAACATAGAAGTAGTGGACCAACATGAGACTTGGAGGTATGTGGTGATCGCTGCATATGCATTCCACAGAAAGGGCAGGAAAGGACTGTAGATTACAGAGACCACAGGGGATAATACGTCTGAAAACTTAACAGGAATACAGTCCTCCACGGGATGGCTGTGAGTGGAAATACGTGGTCGATGCTGTGTGGGTGCCATTGCTCCCTCTAAGCTGAGTGAGTGTGAGCTAGCTCACAGCTTCTTAGCTTCCGGCTCACGCATTCTTTTTTGTCTCCGCTCAGGAAGGAGGGCTCCAGAGCAAACTAATTTATGCAGCAGCCCAAACGCTTGCTCACAGCATTCACGCCAGGAGCTCACAAAGCAGGATTTTTGCTCCTGAGACTCCACAGCTTAGAAGAGAGCCTTGGTGGGTGCACAGGATCAGGCGCAAGGCGGACGTTGGGTGGAACCTGTTGGGAACCAAGGCCACTGTGCGGTCTGATTCAGGGCCTGTGCACCTGGGGCAAGCCCAGCACCCCACAAGGCGTATCCAAAGAGAAGCTGTTCAGGATATTAGGGGACCCATTACTGGAAAAGGAGGAACTGCGGTGGCTCAAGTGGTTAAGACACTGAACTGCAGGCTGTGGAAGGTTGGTAGTTCAACAGTTCGAGACCCGGGTGTGCCGCATGACGGAGTGAGCTCCCATCTCTAGTTCCAGCTCCTGTCAACCTAGCAGTTCGAAAGCAAGAAATTGCAAGTAGATAAATAGGGACCACTTCGGTGGGAAGGGAACAGCGTTCCGTGCGGCTTGGTGTTTAGTCATGCCGGCCACATGACCACGGAAACGTCTTTGGGCAGCGCTGGCTCTTCGGCTTTGAAACGGAGATGAGCACTGCAACCCTAGAGTCGGACTCGACTGGCTTTCGAGCAAGGGAACCTTTGCCTTTACTTTACTTACTGGGAAAGGGCAGGAGACGCCAGGAGGTGCTTGCAGCTAGATTCAAGTGCGGGAACGCAAAGGGAGCTGTGACTCTCTCCAGGGCTCATTCCCTGAAAATCTTGTTGACTTCTGAGTCGCGGCCGGAGTCGAATCGAACTCTTGCCCTGCAGAGCAACACAGCCACCCTCTGAGACTGTCGGTTTTTGAAAGTGGAAGCTGATATTCTGGATAAGGAGAGGGAGGGCTCGCTTGCATTCACGAGCGGAGGGCAGGGAAGCGAGTATAAGAGAGCTTCCTTTCCAAAAGCGATTATTCTCCAGGCTAGTATAAGAGAGCTTCCTTTCCAAAAGCGATTCAGGTTTTCGACCTGACCTGGCTAGCCCAGGCAAGCCCGATCTAGTCAGGTCTCGGAAGCGAAGCAGGGTCAACTCCGGCAAGTACTTGGACGGGAGACCTCCTTGGAACACCAGCAGTCGGGAGGCAGGGGCAGGCCTCATTCAGCCGCCTTTCTGAATATTCTCCAGGCCTCCAGTAGGGGTCACTCCCCAGAGGTCGCCATGGCTTCCGGGAGTACACACACACACAAACACACATTTTTTAAAAAAATTCAATTTTTAAAAACGATTCAGGTTTTTCTGGAGCCGCGCTTCTGTCTGTTGTGCTGAGAGGGGTCCTGGTGATGAAATCTTCCGGGTGCCTCGTCCGGCGTTCTGCGAGAGGAGCGTTGCCGGCTGGGCCCGACTGCTGCTCTCACACCGCTGTGCCTCTCCCCCCCTGCCCCTCTTCCTTTCTGCAGCCTATGATCCCCAGCAGATCTTTAAGTGCAAGGGCACCTTTGTCGGTCACCAGGGCCCTGTCTGGTGCCTCTGCGTCTACTCCATCGGGGACCTGCTCTTCAGCGGCTCTTCTGACAAAACCATCAAGGTGAGGGGGCCCGGCGTTTCTAAACCGGCGGCTTGGCGTTTGCGGCGCTTGGGGCAGGTTTCTCCCCCCCCAAAAAAAAACGTTTGCAGACAGCTTCTTCTTAGTCAACAGCTGAGCGAGAGCTCTGCTCCTTCGAAAGAAGTAGTCCCAATGTCAGCGTGCCCCCCGATGCCAGTTACAGTGATGCCTCATTGGCCGGCATAATCTGTATTCCCACCAGGGGCACAAACAGCACCTGCGGTGAGCCTTATGCTCGGCTTTTAACGGAAATGTTGTTCTGCTCTGGCAGAAACAAATCCCAAAGGAGGCCGGGGCTGCTGCTTCCTGTGGGGGGGACAGTTGCGGTGAGCCCCGGCTGGCTCTGAAGCTGTCGCGGGGACCCCCAGTGAGGGCTGAACCCCATAGTTTTGGAGGGGCGGCCTCTCCAATGCTTCTGGCCTGCGGGCTCCTCTGGTCTCGGAGATTTACTATGCCACATAATGTGGGGATGACCCGGTCGCTGGCTGGGTCTCCAGTTGCCTGTCCTCCTGTACGTCCAGAGAGTAGGCCCTTCCGCCTGTTCTCAAGTTTGGCGTAGTGGTGAGGAGCGCAGACTCTAATTCGGGAAAACCAGGTTTGATTCCCCACTCCTCCACATGCAGCTGCTGGTGTGACCTTGGGTCAGTCACAAGTTATCTCAGAGCTGTTCTCTCCGGAGCAGTCCTCGAGAGAGAGCTCTCTCAGCCCCACCTACCCCACAGGGTGTCTGTTGTGGGGAGGGGAAGGAGATTGTAAGCCACTCCGAGTGAAGGTCGAGATATAAATCCAATCTCTCTCTTCTTCAATTTAGTGCAGTGGTTAGGAGCACGGCCTCTAATCTGGGAGAACCAGGTTTGATTCCCCACTCCTCCTCCACATGCAGCTGCTGGTGGGACCTTGGGCCAGTCTCAAGTTCTCTCGGAGTTGTTCTCTCAGAGCAGTCCTCGAAAGAGCTCTCTCAGCCCTGCCTACCTCACAGGGTGTCTGTTGTGGGGAGGGGAAGGGAAAGGAGTTTTTAAGCCGCTCTGAGACTCCTTCGGGTAGTGAAGGGCCATGGGGTATAAATCCAATCTGTTCTTCAAGTGGTGAGGAACAGCCCCAATGCCTCCATGATGAAGATGTCCTTGTTGAATCGCCAGTCCATCCTGTCCCGGTAGCTCTAGGCAGCCCCTCGTAGGCTTCACGGTTCCTCTGAAATCTTCTCGGGCTTCTCTTCGCAGAGGGGGCAAAGGCCACAAGCTGAATGCGTTCCCCTTCTGAGCTGAGCTCTCCGAGGACTGGGGAGGGGGCCGTGGCTCAGTGGAAGAGTCTCTGCTTGGCATGCAGAAGGTCCCAGGTTCAATCCCCGGCAGCATCTCCAGTTAAAAAGGACCAGGCAGGAGGTGGTGGGAAAGACCCCGGCCTGAGACCCTGGAGAGCTGTCAAGAGGGGCCGTGGCTCAGTGGCAGAGCCTCTGCTTGGCAGGCAGAAGGTCCCAGGTTCAGCCCCAGCAGCATCTCCAGTTAAAAGGGACCAGGCAGGAGGTGATGGGAAAGACCCCGGCCTGAGACCCTGGAGATCTGTCAAGAGGGGCTGTGGCACAGTGGAAGAGCCTCTGCTTGGCAGGCAGAAGGTCCCAGGTTCTGTCCCCAGCAGCACCTCCAGTAGCAGGAGGTGATGGGAAAGACCTCCGCCTGAGACCCTGGAGAGCTGTAAAGAGGGGCTGTGGCTCAGTGGCTGAGCCTCTGCTTGGCAGGCAGAAGGTCCCAGGTTCAGTCCCCGGCAGCATCTCCAGTTAAAAAGGACCAGGCAGGAGGTGATGGGAAAGACCTCCGCCTGTCGGAGTAGACAAGAGTGACCTTGATGCACCAAGAGGGTCTGGTCTAGTATAAGGCAGCTTCATGGGTCCCTGTGCAAGTTGACTCCCGTCCGCCCAGCGGCTACAGAGAGCTCTTGGGAGTGGTGGTGGTGGGGGAGGCATCCTGAACGACGGTCCGGTAAAGGAGGCAGGGCTGGAATGCACCAATCCCTGCTCTGGAAGGGCTTTGAAAACTCTTGTGGTTGCAGGCCTTGTTGCGGGCTGAGTCCCCTGTGCACAAGGAGAGGGGAGGGCTGAAGCACAGCTGTGGCAGTGTGCAAACACCCCCCCCCCCATACAAACACTCTAGACTGGCCCTGCCCTTGTCCTTCGGCCTATTCTGCCGCCTCTACCCAGGAGCCGTAGTGAGAATCGCAGGGGCTTGCAGTTCTTTGTTCTGCATCTCTGAGGACACCTGCCCATCCGTTTCCCGTCCCGTGCATTTTCCCCCCACTGCCTGCCTGAAAGACGGGGAAAGCAGGTGCGCGGCTGCTCTTCCCGTCTTTCAGGCCGAGGGAAGCCAGCCCGGCTGTTTCCTGCGCTGGCCTCCCGAGGGGCTTCCTGGCCCGCCCTCCGGGCATTCTGGAGCACCACCCCCTGACCCTCCTGTTTCCTCCTAGGTGTGGGATACCTGTACCACGTACAAGTGCCAAAAGACCTTGGAAGGCCACGACGGGATTGTCCTGGCGCTCTGCATCCAGGGGTGAGTCAGAAGCTGCCCCGCCACCCGCTCCCTGCTCCTGGGGCACGGCGGGGTGGGAGAGCCCTGCCTGAGAGTATTTTCTTGCTGCGTCGGTCCAGCGACACCCTGAAGCATACAGGGCATAAAGATCCTGAGCCAGGTTGCTGCCGCCGCCATTTCACAGCCAGTAAACTGAGCCGCACTGACCGTCTTGCGTCTGGGCAAGCTGACTTCTGTGCCGAGGAAGGAACCGTGTGGCATGCGTACTTACCAAGCAGGCGTGCACGAGTTCTCACTGTGCATAGTACTGTCTCGCTGTTCCCTGGAAGGCCAGATAATGAAACTGAAGCTCAAAGACTTTGGCCACCCAATGAGAAGGGAGCACTCACTGGAGAAGACCCTGATGCTGGGAAAGACTGAAGGTCAAAGAAGACGGGGACGGCAAAGGATGAGATGGTTAGACAGTGTCATCGATGCAACGGACATGAAGCTGAGCCAACTTCAGAAGACGGCGGAAGACAGGAAGGCCTGGCGTGACCTGGTCCATGGGGTCGCGGAGAGTCGGACTCGACTGTGCGACTGAACAACAACACAGAGGGGCCAGGGGGGACACACACACCCCTCTCGCAGGGCCCACACCGGTGGTCTTAACTTGCCACCCCTCTGGCACCTGAACCTTGAGCAGGCAGCTCAACACACCTAGAAACTTAGTTTTAAAGCTCCGGTTTTCAGGAGCGGGACTTGATCCGTGTTTACCTGACTGCCCACAGGACTGCAGCGTGGCCTTGGCCCAGCCTGGCCAACAGCCCCCCTCGTTGCCGTTTCCTGTCTGGGCGGCCCTTCTTGCTGGCTCCCTGCCTCCCCGGCTGCCTGCTCTTGTTTCCCAAGTGTTGGGGGAATTGAAGGTCCAGGAGCTTTTCCTAGGAAGGCCATCCTGGCTCGACAAGGGGAGGAGGGT